ACCACCACCACCACCACCAAGTCATGTGCGCTAATATCATGGAGATCTAGGCTATGGATCTTGTTTCAATGCTAGGGCGGGTTGCTGGGAGGGGGGTAGAAGAACCTATGAATAGTCTAGTGTGTTGCTGCGGAGTGCTCTGCCATACTTTCTGCATCTCTTTCGCACTAGCCGTTTCTGGCGTGCCTGCCTGCACCGAAGGCTAAAGTAGTTGTAGCTTAGACATCTTTCTGCATGAGCATGTGGTGCACGTTTGCATCAAGCGCTACTTAATGCCATTGCTGCGCCAGGCAGCTTTGATCTAGATGCGCTCGGCTCATTTTGCGGCTTGAAGCTGGTAATCACGATGCTCATGCGCATGTTCTGCCGTAAGCACATTCAGGTCTCGGGATTCCACCCACTGCGGCAGGCACGGCTTTCATTCCGATGTAGAAGTGGTCTCCCAGAAACTAGCGCTTGCACACAAAAGTAAGGCACAGTGAAGCACAAAAACCTGCTGTGTTCAGGGCGATGCATCTGATCGGGGATCTGAGTGTCCATCAGAGTGGGTGCTGCTCCAGCCCCTCACATGAATGTAGTCGAGGCGGTAAGATTTGTTTCTTCGTGTGGAGATTGTCCGTTTACCGCGTTGACTTGATTTAAGGTTCAGCAGCCATAGGCACCGTGGCATCGTTCACCTCGGCGATGAAGTGTGCTTTGCCCGTGAGATGCGCGGAGAGAGGAGAAAGGACTGCAAGCTCGGAACAAACTGTAAAGATCAGCGAGCTGAAGCTTTCTTGCTGTTGCGATTGGCGAGGATCGATTCGCCGTTTTAGCCTTGGAGCCAAACCTGGATAGCAGCGACATGGATCCAGTAATTCGGAGGGACGTGACACTGGGGGAGGCAGTGTGCACGGAGCGAGCCGTGAGTGAACTTGCGTCGCAGCATTTTGAGCCCTGCTGGAGCAGGTCACAGATGCATGCAGATGGACCATTGTTCACGCAGATGGAGAGATATCAGGCAAACCAGTGCAGCCTTTGCCCTAGCTTTTGAGCTTCTGGGGTGCGCGTGCTCCCACCCTTCATCCAAACTGTTGAACAGCATTTTGATGCATTTTGAGTACTTGAGCATAAAGCAGAGCCGGCGTTAGAAATGGCACCTCAACAAGAGCCCACCATTGATATGCAGTTCAGGTGTGAAATGCCTCTGCTTCTTCGTGGCAAATACAATGATTGTCTTGCTGTTGGCCGCTCGCTCTGGGGTGCTCCGCCTGTGGCAATCATTAGTGCTCAGGGAGCCTTGGACTTGGTATGACTGCCTCAGGTACCACGGTCTCCCCAGTTCGAAGATCAGGCAAAAGTCTGGTATGCAAGGCAGCTTGTGCAGCTTGCACCTATCCTGCTTGGTTTGGTGGCATCACTTGGGTCAATATGGGACCGACTAACATAAAAGAAAGATAAGGTGAGATGTGCTTATCATTAGTTTTGGGTTGAGGTCCTCTTGTTATGGGTTCTGTGCCCGGAACCTTGCTGACTTCCCTGTGCTCTCCCTGCTCTCCTCCCCACTTCCCTCTGCTCTGCCTGCAATCGGAGCCAGCCTCAGTCCAAGCGCTCGCCGCTTGCTCGAGTCTGCAACAGAAACAGTCTGAGTGCAGATTTCTTTACTGTGCTCATCTGTCGGTGGGGCGACAGCACAGGAGAAAGTTGAAGGTGCCAAACTGGAGAACAAACATGATCACAAATTCAAGCAAACAAGAATTGGTTCGCATGCAAAATCGGAGCACAACACAAAGTACAATAGGCAACACAAAAAAAACAAAGTCCTCATACACTGAAGCTCACGGCAGACTGGCTTGCCAAAACCAGAGCACAGTTTGGAGCCCCAGAAATAGCACAAAAAACGCTGCATTAGCAGGCAGAAGTTCCTCCCCCAGCAAGTCCCCTATTGAATTCGCTGCAACAGCCCAAGATTGCGTCGCCTTCTCAACTCCGGAACACCAGGAAGCACAAAATGTAGTAGAGGTCGCACAAGTTTGAGCACAAACACATAGATTATAGCAAGCTGGAGCACAAACATGAGCACGACCAAAAGCACGGCCAAAGAGTTCTTTTTGCGATGCTGGAGCACCCCACTAGCAGAAGCACCAGGAAACTGATTCTAAACACCACCGGAGCAGCAATGAGCGCAACATCGAGCACGAAATCATACAGCCAGCGTGCAAACTGGAGCACGAGCTGGGAGCACAAGAAAAACTACCCAAGCACAAAGCCGGACCGCACGAATGAGCCCACACATCCTGACTTCTAAGCACAATCTCATCTAAATTTGGCTCAGAACAATTTCTTGCTTATTTAATCTCAGGCTTCATGGCCTACGCAGGGCCCCCGAGGCCTCCTCAGACTCATTAAGGCTCCGCGCAAAACTTCCCCAACATGCTCTCTAGAACCACCAGAAAAGCGTTTGCAATGTGAGTGAGTACAACAAGGATGAATACAGAACCCCGTGGACGGCCTAAAACAACAAAGAGAAAGTCAGCTACAGTGACAGCTTTCACATCACAACCAGTTTAAGATGCCCTTAAAATCATGTGCTCATTTTGTGAAGAGGAATGACACAAGGTATCGCAGTTTCATCGCTATCGCTGTCTGACGTATGATGCCTGAGCGGGTGGTCCTGCGGCAAAGGATACCTTTCGGCCTCATCGATGTGATGGTAAGTGAGAAGCAACCATGAGACACGTTGCCAGTTGACAAACGAGAAAAACCGCAAAAAGCAGAGACACGCATGCCACAAGAAATGCCAAAAGGCATCAAACACAGCAGCAGCATGGACACCAAATAACAACAGAAAGTCAATGAACATTCAAGAAAAAGTGCGATGCTCTTCGAGCCGCGGCCTGACATCGCCTCACTTGTATCTGCTGTTGTGCGACCCTATGCGTGAGCTTGCTTGTTCAGCTGGTAGCTGCTGTTGGCATAGTTTGCCGGCTGACTGGGAAGTCTGTAAGTTGGATTTCCCCGTCCACCCAACTCGGGAATGAGGGCTCTTTTCTCCACCTCGTGTGCAGCTTGTGCTTCCCGATGTTCTCATACTGTTGGTGTTTGCTGCGCCGTCTACTTTTTGCTCATCTCTTTTGGTTTTGGTGCTTTTCGAGTTGTGTTGTTCTGTGATGTTCTGTGTCTGCGCGGACATGGGAAAGCCCAAGACCACAGTGTTATGTTAGTCTGTATGTGGCAGCTGGGACAGTTGCATGGGACTGCAGCACATGACTGTTGTCCAGCTGCACAGGGCTTTCAAGATGGATGTGAACTTGCCACGCGTTTGCAGGGGTACGTAATGTGGAGTTTCTCTCTGTCATTCTGCCACGCGAACATAAGCAGGCTGCTGCATGGCATCAGATTCCAGATCTCGCCTGGCAAAGCTACGGAATCTGATGGCAAGAAGCGACTGATCATCCCCGCATGCCCTCCGAAGCCAAGCGTGCATGTATTGCTTTGCACCAGTTGCAGAAAGATGGATAATTCCGTTCGTATCTGTTGGTATCTGTTGGAACCGGTTGGCATCACTTGGCATTGGATCCAAGATTTTGAGTTGGTATACGATTATTCTCGTGGTTTCCCGAGCGTGCGAGTGTGTGCTAATTCGAGGCTAAAGCTTTCGGAGACTGGCAGGTGGACAGAGGGGCGGCGCCAAAAAATTCTCCCCACACCCTGAGACGGAAAACGTACCTGAGTCTTTGCCCTGCCATGACGCACCTGGGGCCGATGTGCCAGCTGGCGGTCATGCCCTAGCCCGAGGTCTCTTTCCACTCCCAAAAAGGGATCTTGTGAGCAATACTATGCTGAGAAGAGCCAGGAAAGACAATACAAAGGCTGAATACCAAGTACGCCATTGCCATCTTCGTTCTCCCAATTTCCCTTTGTGGGGTTTACGCACAGTTGGGCCAAGTGCCCGCTGTGGCCCGTTGCGGGGCCTAAGGTACTTGTTATTGTGGAATCGCCTGTGTCCGCAGCGGACAGCTTGCGTGACCCTCATGGGTTGCTCAGAAAACGTGAAACGTAACATTATCGCCAGGGTAGAACTGGAGCGATAGGACCTATGGCCCTGGGGAAGTGCGGTTGTGCCAAGGGTTTTTAGAAACTTGGGGCTCTCTCTGGTGGTCATGGTCTCCCTACCCCTACGATCCTTCTACATGCGCAAAAAGGGTTTTGATGCTGTTGCTCTGCAACTACAATTATGACTACTAGGGTTACTATTGTCACAAACACTTTTTGCATTACAACCACCAAGATTCGCCTGAAGGCTACCTTTGGGGGTTGTTGCCAACTCAACGGCAAGCCAAAAGGTCTCGTCATCGGACGTCCAAACTTCAAACATCAGCAAGGGCTTGGGCATGGCATCTTTGACATTATGATGTCAAGGATGTTCTCATTGCTGGCATGGCGAGGCTCAGAGGCCCCGTGTCCACAAAAAAGCAGGTTATAAACGCAGGATGATGGTGTGAGTAGTTGGTGAGGCGTTCTGCCCCTGCCCTAGCGTTTGGCAAATTCAGTATCGCGCAACTTGAATAGTGGGAAGCAAACAAGTTCCCAATGTTCTTGCTCGAAGATCAGCAAGATGATTGGGTGCGCAAGCCAAACTCATGATTCTAGGCATGGTAACAACAGCGGCTATAATGCGGTAGCAGATACAATCTGCTTTAACAGCAATTGTGACAAGAGTGCTTAACGTCTCGGCAATAATGTTGGAAAAACAACTTTAGCGCCAGAAGTATCTGGCAAACAGAACTTAAACTGTAGTGAGTAGTAAGTCAAGGAATTTCAGCCATGATACAAGTGGCATCACTTGATCCTACCAGTATCCTGTTCTATTGCAGCTGTTACTATCACTGCAGCTTGGAAGCCCTTTGTGATCGCTGTTATTTTAGAAGCCCAAGATGAATGTGACGGACGTCCGTGTAAAAGCCAAAGCCTACAATCCTTATGATTTTCTGGCCGTCCCAAGACGATGATTCCACAGATTGCACCCCGCTGTTGCGATTTGGGTGACAGTTGTGCCTTGTGAGGCCATGACCTTCCCTACATTGAAAAGCAAAATTAATTGGAACCCCCAGAAACTCCATCGTACTTCGGCCTCCTACTATTGCTGTTCGTACCGTCTGCTGCTGCTGCTGCTGCCGCCGCCGCTGCTGCTGCTGCTGCTGCTCGATTGCTTCTGCTATGTCTGCACCATTTTCAGCTCTATCACAACATATCACAACTATTGCTAGTGTTGCTGCCAGCTGCTGTAGGTTGTGTGTGTGTGTGTGTTTGTTTGTTTTTGTTTTTTTCCCCGTGGTATCTGCGCTGTTATGTAGTTGGCAAGTTTCGTTGTTTGTTTCTTCGCGTCTTTCTTCCTCTGTGTGAGTCCGTGATTTGTCATGGTGAGTTGGCTTAGCCACTTACACATGCAAAAGCTCCACTGAGAGATTGCTCATTGCCTGATGCCCAACCACAGCATCCTAAAGCTTTTGCCTCGAGCAGAACATGAAGATTAGCTCTCTGCAACAAGGCACAGAAGTCTCTGAGGTGAAGCTTAGTCTCTGAGTCTCTGAGCTGACCTCACGCTTGTTGAAAGAAGCAAGTGGTCCGCGGCTAGGGAAGAGATGCCCGTATGCCAGATCTCCGCTTCAGAATAGTGAGGGCCCCAGGCACTGAGGCGTCTGCCCAGAAGCTTTGCTGTAGGGGCGCGGCGCTCGAGGTGCGGGCAGGCATCCCTTTCAGCGCTGAGCCGGTGCAACCTTCGGTCCCTTCGGCCTCGCCTCCGCCTCCACTGATCGGACCCGAAGCCGAAGCAGAGCTTTTCGGAAGCAAGTCTCTGGAAGAGCAGGAGCCTGAACAGCAGCGTGTCCAAACTGGGTAGTGTAGGGCTGCTCTTATAGGAGCAACTGCTGCTGGATGACCTTCTTTTCTGTCTGCAAGGCATGACATGTCATGGAACGTACAATGACACGTGGGTTGGCAGCAATGAACTTTGCAGGCTTCGAGGGCACGTTTATCCGAAAGAGCCTCAACTCTGCGGAGCCCCTCTTCGAGGTAGATGTGCCCCCAGGCATTCAAATACATGGCAAAGCTGCAAGAGCTGCTTGGAGAAGAATTGCATGAAGAAGATGCTCTCTTGTTGTGTGGCTGTGCTTGCATGCAGGTGCAGATGCGTCAACTGCTCAATTTGTGCAGCAGCTGTTGCCGCTGTGCAATCACCACGCATTTGTTCAAATTTTCATGAGCCAGCACAGCAGTTACGAGTATGGCACCTTGATGGCAGGCATGGTTAGTCTCTTGTTCAACTTGCATGCGTTCACGTTCAGAATCTTAACATGCGCAGTGATTGTCACAAAGTGGTTCGTTCGTGCGTATGTTGCACGGGTGCGCTGCTCACGCTGTGAGGTACCGTGAACCACGCTCTCTGTGCGGCCTTGCGAGATCTGCTCCGCGAATTTGCGAGCAAGGCAACCCACGACATGAAATCAAGTCTAAGTCACGAACTTGCGTATAAGCATGCGTCAGCACAGATCTGTGAGCCATGCAGAGCATGCTTTTAGCAGTCAGTCATTTCAGCATTTGGCAGGTGGCTCACTGGGAGACCTCGTTCCGCGCGGGCGAGTTGAGCTTGGCTGGGCTGTGGTACCAGTCACAAGCCTCCATGGATACTTTTGCCCTGCTGCATCTTGGATGATTGATTCGACTCCAGCTCACGTCGCAGAAGTGCATGGGAGAACTTGCAGGGCCAAGGGTTAGAAGTGCGAGCTTGAATGACAGATGAGGGTATCTCAGCTAAGGCAATATAGGCAATTTTTTTCTTAAGGTCCATGCTTTACAGCGGCCCCAGTAGAACTGCCTGCCGATCAAAGGCATCGTGTTACTGCACATGTGTCTGGCCAGCTTGGAGGAGCTGTCTTGAACGGCAACTGAGCAAAAGTCAGCTGACGCCTTCCTTGAGCCTTCGAATCTCGAGGACTTGACATGCTGGGGCTAAGGCATCGAGGAGGTCATGACCAAGACCAGCCTCACCGCAGCCCAGGAGCTTTGCGAACACCTACTGCAGCAGGCAGCACGGTGCACAGCTTGTTTGCCCTCTTGTTCCGGCTCCCAATAGCTCCCATCTGGGGTCGAGATCGATGCGCATCCCGCGATGCGTGTTGTATGTAGCGCAATGCTCAGGTTTCAGCCTAGTGACTTGCAGGCTTCACGGCCTTACTTCGACATGGTGTCCATGTGGGTCTATGAAGGCCAACTGCAAGATCCATATTGCGAGTTTTTTGTGCGGCTTGGCGGAACGTGGCTTAGCATGGCGTAGTCTAGGAAACCTGTGGAGTCCTTTCATCAAGCACGCTGAGTTCTGAGAGTCATCGTGCTCGTGATGAACGTACCGGTGGCCCAGCTGCAGACTTCTGGCAGAAGCACTTCACGCTGGACGAGAGGCGCAGAGAGTTCAGATCAATTGAAATTCTCCACGGGTGTTCAGAATGTTCAGAATCCAGTGAAGCGGCTGCTTGTCAATATCGAAGCTAGAGGTAAACGTGCCTGCTGTATCATGATCCGCTCCATGCCTTCGGATCTGTGGTAGCAGTACCGTAGTTGTATGCAGCAACGTCCTTTTATGTCAACAAGGTGACGAAGAGGAAGACAACTTGCAATGATCTCCCCAATTTCTGCGAAGGCAGCAGGATTGATAGGCCTCAGAATGATGACTAGTGGCTGGGGATGCTTGGATTGGCTATCCAGGCATACCTGCAAAGAACGACAGTGAGTTTGTAAAGTCTTGTATGCTATTGTATGCTGCGATAGAACTTATCCAAAGTTATCCAAACATTCATCTTAGAAGAGTAGACAGTGCGTGCGCTTTCCACCTCAATAGTCGCAGGGCCAAGTCATCACATGCACACTGCGGTCTGAAATCTGAAATGTATTCTCGGGACCACGTGCCATTTTGGATCATAGTACTGGACCTTGTAACCACGGGAGCCTGGCCACGGGATTCTTGGAGAATGATGCGCCATAGCATCTAAGGCTTGCGAAATAGTGTCGGGGCAGCTGTGTGAGAAGACGCAACAAATTGGACGATGCAACTGGAACCTTGTGTTTCGCGTGCCAAGGTTAATGACAACTTTCTAGCTTCAAGTTCAGATATGTTGATCGCATGCGAATTACAGGTGACCGATTCAATCCGTATGCCATTTTGAATCCATAGATCGGAACGGCTCCAAATTCAATAAAACGTTGTTTTTGGCCTTCCTTTGGGGTTGGCATTCCGCCTTGGTGAGAGCTCCCCACTTGGAACAGCAGGCCATCTGGATCACCGTAATACCGGTGATGGAGCTTCGTGCCGATCGAGCCATGAACATCGCAGAGCTGGATTTGCAGCACCTGCGGTTGGAAGATATGAACAGGTGGCACTACATGTTTGGGCAGAAAGTCGGCACATTCCATTTGGAGCGCCCTTTGCGGCCATCAGTGAGGACTTCCCGCTGCATCGGACCCGCGGACAATCGCCGGAGTTCGACTTCCCAGCGGATCGCAAGATCTGCCCGGACCTCTTGGCCAATCTGATGTGCCGATACGGACCCAAGTTGTGCAGCATGACCGAATTTTTGGACGGCATGTGGGTGCCTTTCAACTACCCCTGCCGGAACTTCTTTCGGGGACTGTGCACTTGGGGCGATCAGTGCCATCACATCCACGGGATGGTATTTCCGGACACATGTTCCGGGCAGTCCAGGAACAGAAGAGGGTGCGCAACGACGGCTCATGACCACACCTAAGGCAGCACCACCACCGTTCCTGGATGTGCAACCTTCAGATCCTCCTCCCAAGGTCAGACGGCGTCAGGTACGACGACCTCATCGACAGCCTCTTCGGCGCCCTCCTTCGGCAACACCCGGGACACCACATGAATGCTGCACAGACCGTTCAGAGATCGTCCCGGTCTAAGAGCCCGCGCAACAAGTTTCGGCAAGAACGCGACTCCACGGCATCAAGCAGTGCATCGACGCCAGTCGTGAAGAAGGCGCCGCCATGAGTAGCGGTCGCATCTAAGATAGCGCCTCCACCAGTCCCGGACGAGATCGAGGAGATCCACGCCGCGGCAACCTTGCTGCGCCACGGACCAGTCGATCCCCCGGCGCAGCTGGCCGTCCACATGCGGCGCCTCGGCCAGCGCATTCGCTATGTCAACCCGGTGGTGAACTGCATGAGTGGAGCTATTCTGGACTGCATCTGCTTCTGGCTCCGCAGAATAGGGAGCCGTTCGCCCGGACTTCCTGAATTACATCGTCCTGATGGGACCCCGCAACCGGTTCGAGTGGCGCCGGTCGGCGCCGGTGAAAATAGACGGATCTGTTGGCGCTCCGGAGTTTCAGCCCAATTTTGAGGATTGTAGTCAACCTGCGACAGGCTGGGTGCACATATTTCTCCCGTGAGAGCATCAACCCCAGTGGCATCCCGCCTCGGTGAGAGCCCTGGGTACATTTGCCTTTTGGGTTGCGTCAAAGGACAGCAGTCACGCCTGCAGCTCAGCTTGCGGCGCATCACATCTGAATTCAATTGCCTTGCGCGTTCCGCCACGGTGAGAGCGTGGGCCCCGGATCTAGAGCACAATCTAGCGGACCCTTTACCTTTTTCGAGGAGAGCAAAAGAGCAGGCCCGCAAGGTACCTGTAGCATTCCAGCGGTGACCCCTTTGTGGACGCTGATGTGCCAAGCAGTAACGCCGATCTAGATGTTAGCCCCCCTTCTATTCAAGCGCTACCGCAGTATGATACTCCGGTTTGCGGGACATGTTCTGTGTCTTCAGACATCGAGCTTAGGCCAGGGTTCCCCGTAGCTCATCCCTCCTGTGTCATCTTCAACATGTACATGGAGCTTCATCTTCGGACCGTCCGGACAGGATGCCGGAAGGAGTGGATCCAGCGCAGGGGGCCCACCGTGACGTCGGCCACGTCAGCAGCACGTATAACAGGGCGCTCCAGTGGTCGGCCTGGATCGAGTGTGCCTCGGTTCATTGATGCACAGGCGCCCCAACGAGAGTCTTGAGGAGGTCACCAAACGATGGGTCCAGTTCATGACCGGATCCGGCAGCACGGACATCCAGCGCAACTCCATGCTCGACCAGGCGTACTGCAGGAACTTGCGGACAGCAACATCGATCGCGCCAAGGAGTTCCTGGACATCCTCGCGGAAGAAGGAGAGCGTGCGGACCGTCGCCGGTACATGGACTGCGCCTTTTGCGACCTCATGTTTCCGGCCCATTGGCTCCTCGATCTGTGTCCAGATGGGTCCGACAATTGGCGGTACAACTACCGCCGATGTTGCTATACCAGTGCGCGTCCGGCGCCAACGATGATTACGTATGGCGCTTGGAGCACATCAACCTGAGCCCGGCCATCCACGACAAGCGTGGCGCATCGGTGGACCCCGACGGATCCAAGTACAACAACTCGGATCGCCAGTGGCATGGTGTCAGCTATGCCAAAATGTGCTCCAACATGATCTACCTTATGGAGAGCATAAGCAGCCGCAACGAGGGGCTCCAACCCCCCTGTCGACGGAGACACACCCCGGCAAGCATTTCGACGAGACCAGGAACACCCCGGGCACCTACTCCCAGCGCAATGGCAGCAGACAACAAGCGCTTCGCACCTTGGCAGTGCCAGAGCAAATACCTCGTCAAAGATGATACAGGCAACTCAGCGCCAGCTCCGGGCTACACCAAAGACATGGGATCCGACGCAAAAGAATACCACAGGAATCAAGCCATGGGAAGCACATGGCACATCCCAACAGCAGTCTGGCTCCTTTTTCTTCTCTTGCTCAACCTGGTTGAGCCGGCACAGGCGCTCGTCCCTCGCCCGCCCAAAGAATTTTCACTACGCGCTCGACCCCACCATCACATGGTGCCTACAACACAAACACCACTTTTTCACCCCCTACATACATTGCCAGCTAACGTAGTGAAAGAGATACAAGACTCGACCTTGTGGATCGCCTGGACGCCGCTACGGAAGATTGGCTCACACACACCTAGCCAAGCACATCCAACACGTGCACCGACGTGACAATATGATTACCCAGGTTCCAGCGTTCTCGTGACTCTTAGAACAGATAGGATACCCCACTTAGGTTGGGGTGCAGGGACACAAAGTGTCCATAGGCATGCCAGTGGAGTTTTGGAAGCATCCACGGCGCAGAAATCGCAAGCAAAATGAGTGCGGTGAAGCGCTGTCTGTGCGCAAAGTGGAAAGTTAGCCTCATAACTTATGCTTTGGGAACAGGTGTGCTTGAAGTCACTTGTATTCAGAGCTTTTGTGGCTAGCAGTTTGAGCCCACCCTCAACCACCCAGGGTGCAGGGACACAAAGTGTCCATAGGCACGCCAGTGGAGTTTTGGAAGCATCCACGGCGCAGAAATCGCAAGCAAAATGAGTGCGGTGAAGCGCTGTCTGTGCGCAAAGTGACGCATTATGGGTTCTGGGGTCTGCCATGCTTCTTGGTTCGAGGTATTTCTCGTCCTGCCAGGTGTACCAATTGCATGGCCAGGCGCGAGCCTCCTGAGGAGCTGGAAGCCATTGGAAAGCTCGAAGTACAAGGCGCGAGCTTATAATGCACTTGCTGCTGCACATTTGCCATCTTCGCGGCAACACCCTCTAAAGCAACTTCACCATCATGAAGGTATCGTTGCACGGCGCTTGACGACCAACGGCCCGTCCTCTTGACCAACTCGATCTCGCCAGTGCCTTGAAACAAAGCCGAGGCGCCACCAATCCTTAAGGAGTGCGACAAGAAACGTTCAGGAGGAAGGCCCACTGCCACAGCTGCCCTTTGGAGCGTGTTCTGGATCTGGATGCGCTTCACGACCTGGCCGCTGCCCCATCTGAAGAGAGGCTTCAAAGCTTCGCGTCCTTGGCCAAAACGTTGAGGAGCCATATCCTTGAACGCCTTGAGCGCCTGCACCACACAGTCACCCTGGACACCCGACTCGTACATGGTCTTGCACGTTCCGAATGCATCCTGGTCCGTCTTGGTCTTCCGGAACTGAATTGTCACCCCGACGACGTTGGCCTCCTCCGTGACAAACTTCACGTCCGTGCCCCTAAAAATCATGGCCTCGTCGATGCCATTCGAGTCGCAGTACTCCTTCGCCCTCAGCATGAAGAACCAGGCTGTCGAAATGGCGCACAGGAGCATCATCGCATCAAACCTCTCGCCACTGCCTGCATCATCCAGGTTGAGAGAGTCCGCGACCCACTTCAGCATCTCCGGAGTTACCCCCAAGCGGCGGGCCTTTTTTGGATGCCTCTTCTCCAAAGCGTTCAACAGCATCCAAAGACGAAACATCTTGTCGGTCGGATCTCCTTGGCCACCTCTCTTATGGGCGTCCTTGATGGCGAAGATGGCCTGCTTCAACGTGGCCACTGAGGCTCCGAG